AAATTTATTTTAAAATATTGCTTAAAATTCAAGAATTTCATTTAAATCCATCCATTTTTAGATGTTTAAGGAAATCTTTCGAAAATGAATTGCTCAGCTGAGCAGCTGAACAAACTCTTTAATATATATTTTTATATTCATTGTATATTAACAGTTAAAAAAAAAAAAAACAAATTTAAACAAATTATATATAAGTTTATCAAGCATTCCATCTTAAGCAATATCTCAAGACCTTAACCGATACAAAAATTATATACTCATAATGTATTATGCATAAGGGGTTTATACTGAACAATTTATCATAACTAGGTCCATCGATTTCATCTAACCATCATACATTTGCTCTCAAGCTATTCAAGCCAAATACATTTGTTGGCTCAGCTAAAACTTGTTTCTTATCAATTTTTTATGTTTTGGCTGGCCAGAATGTTGCCACACTTGGCACTCAAATAGCGACAGTGGGGCCATAAACACCTTGCCTGCTCAACCGGATTACAATTTCAGATTTCCAATTTCAAAATGGCCGCCGCTGCCGACGTCGCTGCCGCAGCCGACATTTGCGCAAGATGGCCAACACGACGTGTGTTTGGCTGCCAGCTGCCAGTTATTGTGCGATCTGGATGCCATTGCCAAACTACCATGCAAACTGTGGCAATATCATAAAAACCTACACACGCAGAGTGAGCGAGAGGGGGAGAGTGAGTAAGAGATACACAGATAGCGAGAGGGAGCGAGAGAGAGAAAGAGAGAGAGACAGAGAAAGCACACGCAACGGGCAGTCTCAGTTGAATGGGGCAGTTGGTGCGGCATTCAGCTGTCGAAGCTGGCGCAATAAAATTGAACAATTTATAGACTATTCGGTGCGCAATAATTGCGCCAAATTGAACMGAAAATTAAGAAAGAAAGAAAGAGACAAAGCAGCAGAGTAAGTAAAAGAGAGAGAGCGAGAGAGAGAGGGAGAGCATTTAAAGAAAACGAAATACTTTTAAAGGCAACCGACAGACGATCCGTTGTGGCTCACAAAAGTCATTTTTACTTGGCACTTGGTTTGGGTTTTTGTTTAGCTTTTGGTTTAATAGCCGGCACTTAAAAATCCGTTGACTCACCCAGCCAGGTGAGAATGGAAAATGGAAAATGCTGTGCGAAAGGAAGCGCAAACAGGAAACAGCAACAGCAATGAAATTAATGCGATTTAATCGCTCCCTCAGCCAGCCAGCGATATAAATTACAAATATTGCAATGCCAGCAATGCCAGCAGCCCAGGCGGAATTTCGCTGATTGTGTGATAAGTGTTGAACTCAAATATGTATGCGGCATGTGGCAAGCTGTTGGCTGCGACTGCGACGGCTACTGCGACGGCTGCTGCGACTGCTGCTGCGTGCAGCCGCTCTTCGATCTTCGATCTTCGAACTTTTGGCATCTGTTTCATTTCAACTGACGCGTATTGTCGTCATTGCCTCTTGGTAATTGTTCTTGGGCTTCTTATTGCTCTTGTTGTTGCGGTTGTTGTTGTTGTCGCTCACATAATTTTTTTGCTTTGTTCTTGGCTTTTGTACATTTTATATTCAAGCTCATCCCACATTTCAGCGTTTTTTATTGCGCTGTTTTTCCTTTCGACTCTTTTCTGTTGGCCTTGCGGGACAGCGCACCTGTGTGGCATGTGGCATGCTTGATCGGATGTGTCGAAGCATGCTGCTCCAGGAATAATTGGCAGTCATCTCATGAACTCCAGCTAGGCATACAAAAGACTATGATAAATGATAATTGTGGAATACCAGAGAATCGGGCAGAAAATGAAATGATACATATACATACATATATACAAACTCATACATACATATATGTCGAACTACCAATGCATAGCCTTTCAAGTGGCTCGCAGGGGGAGATCGCATATATTTAAATTTGGGTTAATTACAGGCGACATCCTGACGCAGCGGCAGTCCGTCGCTCAATTGTACGGCGTAAAACGAGGCGCTGACAAATATTTTGACATGGCTTCGACTCCCAGACATTGTCGCTGCGGTCCACACTTGATGCTCGGACTCGGGTTTTCGGTAATGTGTGGTCGCCACTTGAGATCCGGTAGCGGAGGAGTCGGGGAATGTGTAATCCAATATCCAAATTTCAAATACCAAAACCAGAGCCAGCAAATCTGCGGCGTCTGGCACATGTCAGTTGAGTTATTAATCTAAAGATTTGTAATACGAATAAGTCGATGTTTTGGTAATTAGTAGAGTCTCTAAGCATTTGTATTTTTATAATGACAACTAATTAGCTATCAGTTTTAATTATTATTAACTAACATATTAATCTCCTAAATCCCTAAAAAGCAAGAGCAAAGCAGGCTGCGTAAATTGTGATGTGAATTTACTAATTCAAGTTAAAATAAAAACACTTTTAGTTTACTTTACAGATAAATTTTAGATTTTAGTAAAGCCTTCTACCAAATTCTGAAATGAGACGTTCGTTGAAATCTTTCCCGCTCAGATTGAGCACCAGTCGAGCACTCAGTGCCAGAAAGGGCTCCAAAACAATAAAGGGAACGGATAGCCCTCTGAAGCAACTTGATGAAAATCCTTGCCCAACAAAGCGTACGTAGAACAAGTCACTTTGAAATACGGTTTGATATTAATGATGGCATATTGTTAGACAGGCAGTGACCCAGGTCCTCGTTGCAAGCCGAAAGAGGGGGAGAAGAAGGAGGGGCAGAAGAAGGAGGGCGATAAGAAGAATCCAAGCAAAAAATGAGCTGCATTTAAAATCACTGAACGGGACGAAAGATCTCTTTAAAAATGTCGAATGTTCTTATTTTTAGGAAACTGACCAAATGGCGGCGCCCAGGCACAACAATTCACATAATAGATCACAGATTATGCAGCAACATGAATCACTTGCATATATAGTTCACTGCTGGCTGGCGAGCACACGAAGATCATAAAACGCAGCGCTCTAGACATTATAAAGCCATAAAGAAACAAGTAAGATCCAAGCGAAAATAGCTGGCCAGGCCAGGGAACTAACGAAACAAGAAAAAAAAAGTATTATAACCATAAAGAGTGATAAAATAAAGACTGTGTAGTTCCATCGACATTTTATGACTTTGAGGCTGCTGCCCCTGTCAAAGTCTAGCAAAGATCTCACAAATTCGATCCGAACTAGATCAGATATATACTAAAATGATTTGGCGCAAAATAGAGAAATTCAATTGGAAATGATAATTGCATAATTCGCTGGAAAACTGCATTCTATCAGCTGGCAGGTGCTTAAAAGCTCCCACGTAGCTCTCATCTCAGATCACTGCCATCCATGACAAAAATATTCAACTGGCTGCCGTTGCTACTGGAACGGGAATTCATAAATTTCACACCCAGACCCGAGACCCGAGAACCGAGACGCGAGACTCGAGAGCCAAAGCACCAGTTTTTATGGCAATTCAATTGCACTGCCACTGATATTTGTTTCCTGCTGCTACTGCAGCCCGGAATCCCTGCCCCATTCCCGGGCAGGTTGCAGCCGTATGGCCATGTACGATTCGGTTTTCCCTATGGCTAATGTAAACAATACCAAATCTCGACACGGGCCGCACTTGTGTCGACTGCCGACTCAACAGTCGAAATAAAATTTTTTTTTTTTTTTTAATTTTTCATCTGTACTTTTCCTTGGGTCTAGGAGCCAACCGATCGATCGACCTATGTGCGTACATGTATGTGTGTGTGGGATTGTATACAGCACATTTTTGTCTTCTTAGGCTCTCTGTATTTTGGGTAATTATTACTTTTTCAATGTAAACAAATTGAATGCTGCTAATTTTAGTTAAATACTTGCACATATTTCTCAGTTTTACGATTTTAGACTCCCATTTCGCCGACCATTCAAATGAACAGTAAATTCTTTCCAACTGGAATGTCGCAATTATTTTCAGTATTTTTTTTTTTAGTACATACAATATGCTAACTCTTTAATCTGGCATTCACAAGTTTTAGGTATTTATTTTCTGTAGTTGTCAGCCCATTGATTTGTTCGACGGCTTTGTAAAGTGCCGAAAATCAAAGCGATTGACGCAGTCGACGATCGACGGGCGGTCGAGCATCCATCTATCAAGAGAGTGTCTAAAGGCAGGCAACGGAGCCGCAGTTGAGTGTGGAGCACGCCCATAGCTAGCTTCCAGATACGAGATGAGCAGCCGCCGTGTGTCTGCTCAACCTTTCAACGCATAAAAAGCCGCCACGCAAAGTTTTCCAAAAGTGTCTGCGCGTTGTGTTCTTTTTCCTCTTTCAAATTATCGACGAAATTAATCTTAATCTTGAGTTTGCCCAGGCAATCTGGCAACACATGTGCTAAACGGTGTCTGCCCCGTGTGTGTGTGTGTGTAGAGGTGTGGGAGAGCGAGCAACACAACTACTCACACAGATACACGCACACATGCATACGCATGCTCATATCTATTTCAAGGCCTTGCCATCCTTTAACTGTTGTTGTTGCTTCTGCTTCTGCTGCTGATGTAGCTGTGGTTGTTGTTGTTGTTTGCTTTAGTTTYTGCTTTTGTGCGCACGCCGATTGAAGTTTGGCCGACGTTGACGTCGACGTTCGTCAAATTTGTTGGCATCAGCAAACGGTTTTTATTCAACAAGCAAAAACAACAACAGCAACAACAACAACAACAGCAACAAGAGCGCAACCACAGCTAATACAACAACAGCTATGATCACGATGATGCCGATGACGAGTAAGACAGCCGAGCAAGAAGAAGACGGCATGCGCTTTGCATGCGCCGCATTGCACTCGCGCGACGCGATGCCAACCAATTGGACCACCCAAAGCGTTGAGCATCTGCACTCCTCGCACTCCTTCACCCGCCTATGGGCCCTAGCCCCTCTAACCGCATAATTCCATAATTCTCTAGCCTCCGTTGCCGCTTTAGTTTTTACGATAAATTACAACAGCAACATTGCTGCAATGCGGCTATCATTCATTCATGCGGGCATCCCAACTCCCCCGCTGCCTTCCTCAATCTTCGTGTAAACATGTGTAAATCATGACCCGTTGATGGCATCCACGTAGACAAAGCGCTGGGGCGCAGGGCACAGGGCGCAACATGTGACGTCCTCGTCGGCGTTGATGCTGCTGCAGCTTTTGCACTGCGACCCCAAAAGTTTTCCATATGTATGTAGATAAATGAGTTGTGAAAAGCTATTCCAGTTCACAGTTCCGCAACCTATCAATCCTTCCAGCATCAGTTCGATTATCAACAGCTTCCACTCATATGCGAATAAATGACTTATCAAAAGCTGTTCCAGTTTGCTGCCCCGCAACCCAAGCCAATCAATGCTCGTTCTACTTTCGAAAAGTACAAATGATATCCGAATGCAACTGCTACCATTTGGCGCTGGCTGCTGCTGTTGGCCGCCAACGTAGATGACATTCCCATTCCATTTCAAATTCTCGTAATCGTATTGTCCCGAAAGGCTAAAGCAAATATTATTTATGCGCGTCTCTCTCTCACACACACTCTCTGTGTGTGCTGCTAGTTTGCCCTGAGAACTTTTTTCGGCTTGCGAACATACGGTTTGGAGGCAAACGCCGTGCACTTCCGAGGAGTCGAGAACAATGTTGTGTGCGTCCTGTTTGTTTATACTTAAAGCGTTATTTCAATAAACATATGCAAGGCAAAGGGCAAATTTTTGATATTGAAATTTTGGATACATTCTCAATAATGTGCACTTGAGCATCCAGCTCTAAACCAATTTCAACATATAATATTTTCAAATCAAGTGGTGTATGATAGCGTCAATCCAATCCCAATTTAATTCATTTATTTTATGTAAGATGGAAAATCGCGCCAAATTCTGTATTTGAATTTTGTGTTTTATAGCAATTAGCTATATGTATGGCGCACACTAGAGTCTGGCAACACTACAACAGAATGCGGTGACGTCACACTTGCTCAACTTTAAAGTGTTGATCAGCTCTAAAAATGTTTTGTATTTTAACAGCACTGACAAACGCTGATCGTTTCCAGTGTGACCAGGTAATGCATACTGGTGGTGTTTTTTTAGTATGAGAGTGGGAACCGCAGTAGCAGTCAAAAAGTGATTCACGCTCGCGAACGCTAAGAGCAATTTTAACAAATAGAAAATTATTTCGCACTGCCGCCAGACTTACCATTAGAAAATTTAAATAATTTTATAAGGCCGCCGCCGCGAGTATTTTGGAAAGTGTAAAATCTACAGCCCGCTACGTCTGCGTCGGCTCAAACATTGACTGCGCGTGTGTACATGCGTGTGTATGTGTTTGTGTGAAAGGAGGAGGAGAAGCAACACACAAAAAAAAGTGTACAGACGACGCGCAGACGCAACGATCTGCAGTGGCTAATTAAAAGTACCGAAAAAACGGGAGTGAAAATTAATTAATTACAGGCGGAAATTTCGCCAAAAAGCTGATCACGAGTTGGTTAACAAGCAGTAAACAGCGATAATAACAAAATGGGTTGTGCCGTGAGTACAGCACGAGATAAAGAAGCCATCGAACGTTCCAAAAACATCGACCGGGCGCTCAGAGCCGAAGGAGAACGCGCCGCCTCTGAGGTTAAGCTGCTGCTCTTGGGTGCGTCTCTCACAACTTTCCAATATATACACATACACCCATATATACGTACTAATTAAGACCTTAAGTTTTCGCCTAAAATTGCGACGCCATGCACAAATATTTGTGAGCTATTTTCAAGTGGGGTGGGTTTTTTTCACAACTGGAAGCTAACGAAAACCGTTGTAATGCGGTCTTTTATTCTCTCGAATTTTTTGTCTCTCAAATTTTTGTTCGTGCGCAACTTGATACTCGTTCGATTCATCTTTGGCTATGGTCGCGCATTATGCAATGCACATGTCAATAATTCAATTGCGATAAGAAATTGAAAGTAAATTAAAACCAAATGTCTGCGGCGGCGGCTGTGGTTCCAACAAGTGGGACGCCTTAGCCTTCTCCTTCCATCTTGCCAATGGAAACATGTTTGTGCTGCGGTTCTTCTTACACATACACACACACACACATTCGCATATATACACAAGTGAAGCATGCTTGTATAAACGTGTATGTGTGCATGTTTGTGTGTGTGTTGAGTGGCACTTGTTGTTGGTGAGAAATGTGCATTGAGGCGTTGCGACGCCATCGCTTCAACTTTGACCTCTGCATGTTGCGCTTGCGTAGTGAAATTGGATGCCGCATCGCGTTTTTGGCCTTCTGCAATTAAATTTCTATACAAACAGCGAGTCGAGAAATTATCTTGAGTGCGCGTTTTCATTCACTCAAAATGTTGCAAACAATGGAATGGATTTTCCAGCTTTCCAACCAACACCAACGGCAACAACAACTAACACAACTGAACAAAGTTGCACTTGATAGCTTTTGCTAATGAAGCGGCGCTCCGTCCATTCATTCTTCGATGACTCAAAGGGGGCTGTCGATGGATGGGTGAGAGGATGGGCAGGGTGAGTCGGCATGCCAGTTAAATGATACATGAGATGAACTCACTGGTCAACAAAAAATCTGCTCTGACTGCTGCTAGAAGTTGACAGAAAAATTTGGTTTGTTCATAGAATTTTTTTGGGGTAGACGAATTTTAAAGATTTATTTATTATTTCCTCCAAGGACAATTCAACTTGTCTATCTATTTCACGGGAACTGTGTTGCAGTTGCAGCTGCTCGTAAAAGTGACATCAACTATGTATGTTAGTGTAGTTTCTAGCAAGCAAGGCAGGCAATGAGAAAAACACCTTGCACCAGTTGCTAACATTTGCGCTCGTATTTGTTTTATTGTTCATACATGTGTTATTGTACTTGTTGTTGTTGTTGTTATTGTTTTGCTTCTGTTAGCATTATCTCTGCCTATGCTGGCTGCTGCGCCTGCGCACGTTCATTATACCAACCGCATTCGCCAAGAGCTCTCCCTCCCTCTCTCGCTCTCTTTGCCTCTTTCGCTTGCTCTATCGCGCAGGCCTAATTGGCTGGGGCAGCTGTTGTTGTTGTTGCTTGTACACTGACATTTAAAGTGGGGTGAACGATATTAGCGCAAATAAATGGCCCCCACATCAAATGCAGCTGTGTGTCTGCTTGTGTTTGGCTTATGCTCTGCTCCGCTTTATTCGTGTAGATTTAATAAAAATTTTTGCTATTGTTGCAGCCGCTGTCTGACCATTGCACCCTTCTTTGTATCTGTATCTGCGAGCAGCCTCTCCAGTTGAATTATGGCACTTAATTTCATGTCGGTTTCACTCTCACTCTCGCCCAGTCTGCCACCCTTTGGAACGCTGCTCAATTTGGAAAGTGGAATTCAGAGCTTTCTTTGGCGATTTCCACTTCCAAATACTCCGTTTATTTTATGTTGATCAGTTTCTCTCTCACATTTCCCACATCAGACCAAACAACCATAAAATAAATAAACATGCATTTAATACGTTCCATTAGCATGCCGAGCGACACATAAACAATATTCGACACTGACAGCAAGCGGAGACCCCTCGGTAACCCAACACAAACTGTCAACACAAATAGCTTAATCAGTAATTTTTAAGTATTTAATAAACACGCACAAACATACACATACTCTCGCACACTAGCACATTCATTCGTATTATCATCACACATACATATATATATACATATACATTCAATGTTTTTAATGTGCTGTTCTTATCGCCATAAATCGTTCGTCTTTCGGTGCCTTATCAATATTATCAATAAATGACCTTTACGTCAGCTTTGCAACAGCCATTTTCAGCTAAATTAATGGCAAATGTAGATTTGATTTCCTTCCCTGATTGCCCAGACGGTTGGTAGCTACATATGTATGTGATTGGATCAAATTCCCCATAAATAAATCATGGCGTGGTGCACTTCCTATGGCCAACGTCAGCGACGATTAAATGCCAACAGACTTCCATTTGTTTACTTCCAGCTCTTCTCTGCTCGCTCGCACGTCTGATTAACACATTTCTTTTCTCACTTTACTTATCGGAAAGTTCAGTCGCCAGCCGCTTGGAGGCGCCAATAAAAGTCGATAACGATTAGTCATGCGGTGAGCGCAAATGAGCGAAATGCTATGGACTGATTGCTGTGAACTTTTCCTGTCCAAACGTGTGAGAGTGTGTGTGAGTGTGTTGGCTTGCCTTTAGTCATCGTCTATGTGCATTTAATTATCTAATTGCATAGGAACTGCAATCATGAAATAGCATAGAATTGAATATTGACACGCCTCCAAAAGAGGCGTGGGGTAATGAAGTTAATTTGAATACCGCTGATTATCTTGATGAGCGATGCTGATGATGATTATAGAGTTTTTCGAAGTGGCGCTCTCCCTCTCTTTGTACGCACCGCCTTGCGAGTTCTACGCTCTTCTCTTGCTGTCTCCTTTCGTCGCATCGGGCGCTTATTATGGCACAGCTAACGGTGCATTGATAAATGAATACATGATTTATCATAGTGTGCGTGCGTTTCTTCATGTTTTTGTTGTTATTATTAAATTGACCTTTTTTCGCCATTGTTGCGAACTGCCTCTATCTCTCTTTCCCTCTCTCTCTTGCTCATTTGCTTTGTTTTATTATTCGGTGGCACGATACAAATTTTGAATATTTGTTAATCAGCCATTAAAGCCGAGTTGACCGTCTTTTAAGCTATTACTTATTATAACGACATAATTTTCATTGCCTAAATTAGTATGCATTGTTAGCTATGATTTTAACAATCATAAACATATATAGATATATGTATGTAAATACGTGCTTAAGCGCATATAGTATATACTATGTATATGCGATCGGGCGGTACTTTGGCTTTGCTGCAAAAGTGAAAGTACTAAAGTCGAGCTCTCGCAATTACCTAATCAAGTTGACTACCTTCCCGCGTTTCCTCCAAAGCTCTGTCTGTCTGGGAATGGACCCAACCACACAAAACCCTATGCAGCAATAATAAAAAGCCATCGAATGTTGCAAAAAACAAACAAAAAACAAAAAATAATAATAATAATGTTGGCATAATGCGCCTTTGTTGCAATCGTGGACATCATATATTGCTTTACAACGTCAAATGTACTAGGACCGGTAGCTGGCAAAAATCATGTCTGCGATAAAAACATTAATTTTGTTCAACTCTTTTTAGTTGCAGTTGGGGGGAAACTAGAAAACACGTAACATCAGTTTTTCTTATCTATTGGACTGCCTCAAATAAGCTTCTTCATTTTGTTTACTCTGTGCATTTATGCGTCTTGCTCAACTCATGTATATTTTGTACACTAATAAAAAGCTTGGCATTTATTTATGTTTTCAAGGTATGTTTAAACTTCTTTTGAATTTTGATAAATCGAAGTTCAACGAACAGCATAGGATTGGCCAGTGGGCAAATAAACAGCAAACAAACATGATAAATGATATACAGTGTGAGCATTTATTAAGTATATAGAAGCATTCTTCGTACATAATATATTGGCCTAGAAAAGAGATTTACATACTTCAAACACCTCCAAATATTCGCATATTTACAAGCTGTATGCTTGATATTACATGCGGCATAAAGCTATGCCAGCTCAATTACTGCCGATATTACATGACCAACATGAACGCAATTGAGCACGCTCGTACGGCTCGGCTCGGCTCGGCAGCTAGCTTTTTGGCCTCTTGAACCCAAAGACAATTGAACAATTTGTAGCATCCATTCATTCATGAATGGCCGCCCGCTTCCTGCCCCCTCGCGTGTATACATATATATTGTTAGCTTCATTCATTCATTCATCGGCGCTTTTTACGCATGACACAGTCACAGAGGAGCTCCAATTGTTTGCTGATTGGCAGGTCACGCCCATATGGTTGAGCCAACATCCGTTCCACATTTTTCACATTTGTAATTCTGGTTGCATTTGCAGGCGCCGGCGAGTCGGGCAAATCGACAATAGTCAAACAGATGAAGATCATTCACGAGACGGGCTACTCGCAGGAGGAGTGCGAGGAGTACCGACGCGTCGTCTACAGCAACACCGTACAGAGTTTGATGGTCATAATACGAGCGATGGGCCGGCTAAAGATCGAATTTGCGGATCCTGCAAAAACAGACATTGCGCGCCAATTCTTTACACACGCCTCGGCCGCCGACGAGGGCATCCTGCTGCCGGAGATCGTGCTGCTGATGAAGAAGCTTTGGTCGGACGCTGGTGTGCAGCAATCGTTTGCACGCTCGCGCGAATATCAGCTGAACGACTCGGCTGGCTACTATCTGAACTCACTGGACCGCATCGCGCAGCCCAACTACATACCCACACAGCAGGATGTGCTGCGAACACGTGTGAAGACCACTGGAATCATTGAGACGCATTTCACTTGCAAACAGCTGCACTTTAAGTAAGGCGAAAGAATTCCTTAAGAATCGTGATGCAAATTATTAATTTGATATTATTTTGCAGACTATTCGATGTGGGCGGACAGCGTTCGGAGCGCAAGAAGTGGATTCATTGCTTTGAGGGCGTGACAGCTATTATCTTTTGTGTGGCACTCTCAGGTGAAAATGGGAAATTCTTCATTAATAAATAGAATACACTAACCTCTATCATTTCGTTACAGGTTACGACTTGGTTCTGGCTGAGGATGAGGAAATGAATCGCATGATTGAATCACTGAAGCTCTTCGATTCCATATGTAATTCCAAATGGTTTGTGGAAACATCCATTATATTATTCTTGAACAAAAAGGATTTGTTTGAGGAGAAAATTAAGCGATCTCCCCTAACGATATGCTTCCCAGAATACACTGGTAAGGCAACAATGGAAATTAAATGGAAACTATATTAATATTTATATTCTCTCTCTATGACAGGTTCCAATACATTCGAGGAGGCCGCCAACTATATTCGCATGAAGTTTGAAAATCTCAACAAACGAAAAGACCAAAAAGAGATATATACGCATTTAACCTGCGCCACAGATACAAACAACGTGAAATTTGTATTCGATGCAGTCACTGATGTCATCATCAAGAACAATCTGAAGCAAATCGGTCTTTTCTAATGGGAGAGAGAGGGAGCAGCTTATGCGATTAAAGTGCGTCTTAGTATTAAAGGAAAACGCGCAAACATTTCCATTACATTATAATTAATTAACTATAAACATAAAACCACATATTTGTAATCTGTATTTTATGTATATACTCATATGTATATGCTTTCAATACGAATACGCTTTACAAGCTCTTGAGTTATATTTACTTACATATATATTTAAAACCGATTTTTGTTGCCAGTAGTCGCGGAACAAATAACCAACTGCAATTAATTAAGTTAACCGTTAAAAATGCTATAAGTGAACTAATTAAAATACGTATCTACTGTATGTATGTAATTTAACACAGTGTAAAGTAGACGCCAGGAGCTTGGTAAAGATGGCTGTCCAGATGTGTAGCCCACAGATGTGGCCAGCTACCTTTGTGCTTAGTTAAGATTTAAGTAATTTAATTATGTGACAAATTTGCATGGCGTAAAAGAGGTGAACTTTCCAACATTTGTTTACTTTATCTTTTACGCGCTGCATTTTCGGCACGTTTTCCAATACTGTCATGAATTTGCCAAGAGCTTAGCGCACTAAAAAACAAAAACAAAATAATAATTAAATAACGAAGAGTGTGCGTGGGTCTAATTTTTGTATGCCCTCTACATGTAACTAGAAATTTTACTAATTAATTAGTAATAGCCTAAATAAAGACAAAGCTAAAAAAAAAAAACACACACACACATTTGCAAGAATTGCAATTCAATGGGGCAGTATACGAGCATCGGTTTAAAGCCATCTGCAGCTAAGGATCGTTGTGCAACACTGTTCAACACTACTGTGTGGTGAGTTTAAGTCGGCGACAGAGAAGTGCCTTCTTTTCCTGTCAGCTTTCGTGCAAGTAGGTTGAGTTAATTTTTGTTTGACAAAATCTTACATTTGTAAAATATTCAGGTAGTTCAAATAGCTCTGTTTAATATTGTGTAGGACATTAATAAATAAAAATCGAAGCAGAGGTTTAGTAATTCAATATGCTGCGCGCAGTTATTTCGATCAGCCAGCGTGGAAAGCTTCCACTAACACTGCTTTCGGCTCAGGGAATTGGTAAGTTGTTCTCCCGCAAATCGCGCATTGAACCTGAATGATTTTAAATTTAAAGATTTCCCAATCGCAGCCCAGAACAAGCTACGCTTTTCCAACGCATACTGCCGCCCTCTTGTTCGCTTCTATGCTAGCGATGATTCAAAGATCAAGGGATCCCTTCGCGGCGGCCCAACCGGCATAATTGGTAACATGGATCAGCCTGCCAGTATGGGCAATGTAGGGGGCGGTGACTCGTTTCCGCAGCCGCAGCCAGCTGCTTTGGGCGGTGACCCCATACGCGACTATGGCAAGGCAACTAGTAAGCGGGCTGCGGTCACCTCCCAATTGCAGGCCGCCACACACATCATTACAGAGAGTGAAAAACATGGAAGAGATGAATCCAAATCGTCATCAACGTCGCAGTCGTCGACCTGTTCGCCCATGTCGGGGGAGGAATCGAACAAAGTGGTTGGCCAGTCTAGCTCAAGTGGACCGTCGGATCCTGAACGTTCTGGATCGGGCTCTGGGAATAAAATGGTCGATGATGCCATTAAGAACTTGCAGGATGCGGCCGCTAATTTGCCCAGCAAGGAGCAGGTGGAGAAGTTCGTCTTTCGGACGTTGGCATTCATCTATGACCTTCTCTTCTTGACTGCCAATTGGACCATCCGCTTCGTCGATGAGAAGGTAGTACAGAATAAGACGGTCAGGCTCTACTGGAAGAAATTCCACGAGAAAATGGAGGAGGCCAAGAAGGATTAAGCACAGCAATCAAATTCAGATGGAAGTGAAGCATGATATAATGTATATATAAACCTCAATCCATATATATATATATATGTCATGTACGGCATACGCAAAACATTAAACAAAGCTAATAAATCTCAAATTTCATGACACATGCGCCATGTGTAAGTGTATTTGTGGTATATTTATTGCTTTTGCGTTTGCTTTGTTCGCACAATTGATATTTTGTTGCTCCGAATTCAGGTGAAGCTAGCGAAGCTGGCATAGCCGTCCAATAGTTTGGCCAAATATTTAAGTATCTTATTGCGCGCCTCCTTCAGCTGCGGCGGATCGCAATTGGCCGGCTCGTACATGTTGGCGCAATGTGCGGTGCCTGCAAAAATATTCAGTTGGTTATGAAATTACATCCAGTCAAGTGAAATCGACTCCTCACCTTCGATATAGATTGCGGGCGTGTTTGAATTGGTGGAGACGTAGAGCCCGAGTGCATGCCATGGATCGATGGAGCCGTGCACGTAAAGTACATTTGTTGTCCCTGGCTTAAGTGCGCCGTAGTACTTGTTCGTCTGGGCCACAGCCTGTTCCAGAAACTTGCCATTCATGCGATCCGAGAAGATGTCCATGCACTGGCGTATGAAAAAGTCGATGCCAAAGCGATCACCGAAAGTGTCCGACTTGTTCTCAGAGGTCTGATAGAAGCCAAACTCAGTGCAAGTCTGGTACGTCCATTGGCGCATGCCTTTGGCCACCTCAGAGTCCCACGACACGTTCTTCATTTCAGCTATCATCTTGTCGTACTTGTAGTCCAGGCACTTGGTCTTCGACTGCTTCAGCAACAGATCGTTAACAGCGCCCAAACGGGTAACTGGCGGTCCCATAGTCGTGTTCAGCATCACGTCGCAGATCTGTAAGCAAGGGGATGGTCTGCTAGAAGGTGCATTGGCTTGGCTAAGTGGCATCTACCTGATCGATGGTTATCTTGGCATGCGGGCTATTGTCTTTGTTGTACTGCACCACGCCAGCGAAATTGCTAGCAATGTTCTCAAATAGATTCGCAATGTCCAATTTATTCTCAATTGAATCTTTGAGGGGCGTGCACGTTCTAATAATAAAATGAATGAATATACATACATATATATATATAATATAATGTAGAAATTGGTTTCGTACTTGAATTTCTCGTCCAGATTGCGCTGGCCTATCATGTGCTTCAGCAGAATCTCCACCTGTGCGAAGCCACGTGACACAGCCTCCACGCACTCCGGCTTGTAGCTGGCCAGCGATGCTTTTACCACTTCGAAGTATTGGGTGAAATCCACTTGGGCCAGCAGTGGACCACTGGAGCTAATGGCGCCATCAATCAAATGAGGATACTTCTCGCGTGCCCAAGCAGCCAGTGAACCGGGATAAGAGCCACCAAAAGCAATCCATTTCTGAGAGTCCGCCATGTTGTATTGGCGCTTCATGGCCGACACAAAGTTAGCCAAGTCGGCCAGCGCCTGCTCCGAGCTAAGGTAAGCCAAGTTGCTGTTAGACAGATCACTAGTCGGATGGCTCTTGCCATAGAAACGATGCTCCAGCTGAATGCACAGCGCGCCGAAGTGCTCGGCATAGTGGATCCAAGCACCCTCACGCATCCAGTTCTTCGTGGCCTCCCCTTCGCCGCCAATCATCAGAAACACCGGAGCCTGACTGTCATTCCTGTAGAAGGCATCGTTTACAAAGTAACGCTGCTGCCATGTGCGCGTGTCGTCTGGCTTAAAGTGATTCAAACGCTGCTCGAACCACAAATCCTCTACATCCAAAGATCGCTGCAAGGTGGGCATCGAACTTGGTTGCCCCAAAAAGCCATTCATATGACGGCCGTTTCGGAAACCCAAGCTGCTGGACTGCGCAATTAAACAGACGAGCACCAGAAGAGGCAGACATAATCCCTTGGGATGTAGCATATTTCAGCTTTATCACAATTGCTGCGGTCTTTGGCTTTTGCTGTTGTCTTTACTATTGTTTTTGCTGCTGTTGTTGTTATTATTGTTGAGTTCAGGTCAAGTGAGCTGTTATTTGATTAGCACAACCGCCGTTTGCTCGACTAACTGTAAAAATGGCACAGGAATGCAACTTATATAGTTCTATTTGCCATACGTATGTATGTGTGTGTTGTATATAGACACACATACATATATGCGTACCGATTTCTTTATGCTTTGTTATTTTGCCGGCTGTGATTTGGCGTTGCCACCTAGTTGCAAACATTGCGTTCACTGTTTACTTATTTTGTGCTAGAGATTAATTATTCTACTTTTTATAGGTAACATCTGGCTGCTGCTGGCAGATGTATTGGAATATTGGCATAATAGCTTTTCTGGAAAATCATTTGAAAAGTACTCAAATGATTGGCACGACGCTGCCACCCTGTTTGAAAACGGCTCCCAGGCAACGGTTGCTTAATTTTCAAACAAAAAATAAGCAGTTGCTGTGCATATTGTCAGTGGCAGGTCGATGTAGCCAGTCCAACAAGCCAGAACGTAGAACAGCATAATTTAAATATATATTTTGTGTACGATAATGGCTAACCCAATAAAAGAATGTAAGCAGCTTACGCCACTAGCAATTTTCGGCATCAATGGCAAAGTGGAGAATGGTGTGCGTCAGCATCCCGTTACCCGGGCTGCAATCTTTCCATTGGGTAACAAAATAGCCATTGCCGACTTCGCTAAGAACACACAAGAGTTTGTTGCCGGGCACACAAACAGCATATCCTGCCTGGATGTCAGCAAGAGCGGCAAGTACATCGCCTCCGGTCAGATCAACCATATGGGCTTCCGTGGCTATGTCATCGTATGGGACTATGAGTCACGCAAGGAGATTGGACGTCATGATTTGCACAAGGTGAAGGTGCAGGCTATTTGCTTTACGGCCGAGGAACGCTTTGTTATATCCATTGGCGGCAAGGATGACGGCTCCGTAATTGTGTTTGATGTGCAGACATTGTAATTATTGCAAACTGCCTCCAATTTCTTCCAGTTGATGAACTGCTTCTCTTCTCCACTTGCAGCTCGCCCATTTGTCGCCAAGCCGCTTCACGTGCTATCTCAGGCAATGCCCTGACCATCCGTCCGATGCATAACAATCCGTACTTCTTTCTCACTGCTGGCGATCGCCATCTGCGCCTGTGGAGCATTGTGCGCGAGCAGAAGAAGCTCTATGTGCAGGACGTCCATTTGGCCAGCAAAACTCGCACGTTCTACTGTGCTCGCATCGATAAAAAGGATGAGTTCGCGTATCTGGGCAGTGGCACTGGCGACATCATTAAGATCGTACTCAACTGCTGCGACAGGGACAATGTGACCCGGCCGGGCACGACAAGCGGCATTCTAGGTGCCTTCGGCACGCACAATCCACGCAAGCCCACGGGGCGCGACTGCAATCGCTATGTGAATGGCGTGCGTGCCCTCTATGTGCTGGAGGGAGGACGTCTGCTGATTGGCGCTGGCGATGGTGAGGTGCAACTGGTCGAGGAGCGTACCGAGGTGCCATTGATAAACTTCCGAGACTATCCGGAACCCACTTGGCCCTACTTGCGCGTGGTAAGCCCCACACTTAAGCTTTCTGCAGTTATGTTCCTTTTAAGCTACTTCTTCTCCTTCTGCTCATTAAGGTTAAGCGAACTCGCGTCTCGGGTCGCATCTCGTCCTTTGTGCGCAGCACTCCGGAGAAATTCTACATCTGCACCGACACGAATGAAATTTACATGCTGAACATCAACTCCTGGATTTTGAAGCTGCTGCGCACCTGCCATGCCAAGGCAGTCTACTTCATAACATTTCCCAAGTAGGTCCAGCCACAGTGCTTCCCGTCATGTTTGTCTCCTCATTCCCAACTATTGCAGAAACTATGCAGCTGTTTTTGCCACCGCTGGCCACGAGAGCATTCGCATCTGGTCCTCCAATCGCAAGCAGGAGCTGCTGCGGATCATGGTGTACAATTTCAACTGTGCCGCGGTTCGCTTCGCCCACGACGGAACCAGCATTGTGTCCGTATGGAACGACGGCATTATTCGCGCCTTTACCCCCATAACAGGGCGTCTCATCTATGCTATACCCAATGCTCACAACAAGGGTGAATTTTGATTCTTAAATTGTAGTCCATTTACCATTTACACTGGATATTCTCTTAGGCTGCAGTGCGTTGGCCATTGCATCAACGGGTCGCTTTATCGTCACTGGAGGCATCGAGGGCCAGGTGCGCGTGTGGAAGATCGAACCGTATCGTCAGAATTTAGTGGGCGTGCTGAAGGATCATTCGGGTCCCATCACCTCGCTGGACATCAACTATCTGGACACGGAAGTAATTTCCGCTTGCACTGACGGCTCCTGCGTCATTTGGGACATCAATCGCATGACCCGCAAGCAGGTGGTCACTGCCAACACGCAGTTCATGTCGGTGCTCTATTTCCCCACTGGAGTGCAGATACTCACCTGCGGCTCCGATGGCCGAATCATCTATTGGATGGTCTACAACGGCGCACTAATACGCGAACTAGCCGCCTCGAAGAAATCGTCGGTGAACTGTCTTTCCATGAATGCCACAGGCGACTATTTCGTTAGCGTTGGCAGCGATCTGCAGGTGAAGCTGTGGGACTATAACAGTGGCGATGTGGTCGGTATTGGCTCGGAGCATGCTTCGTCCGTAATTAGCGCTGCGTACAGTCCATGTGGCAAGACTTTCGTTACAGGCAGCACGGATGGATCACTGATCATTTGGGAAGTGCCCGAGGAACATTGGGGCAGTCCCAATCCACCGGACGGACCCAGCTACCAGCTGCCCAAGCCACAGCCGAAGGGCAAACCAGCTGTCCAGTCGCGTGTCGACTCGGGCACTCGCCTGAAGCCAGCTCCGGGCGAGAATATCAATGGGCTGCTGAAAGCAACGCCCAAGGACGACATCTGCTGTGTCGAGTGCCCACCGTGCGCCAAGAAGGAAGGCAAGGCCGCTGACGCCTTTGCCGAGTGCAAGATTGTGCCGGACGTAAGGAAATGTTAAGATGTTCAATTTCCCACTTCTACGTTTTTATTAGCATAGACTAATAAAAAAGAGCATTTAAGAAAAAATCAGACAAACCCTATTTTAGCTGTAGTTAAAAATATTTCATGAATATTTTAGATTCTGTATTTTTGTAATTTCAATGTAGATCTCATTAGAATAAAAACAATAAAAGAAGCATGTTCCCAAACGTATTTTATCACACCAAAATTTTATTATGCTTCGACGCCAGCTGCTTCAGGACTATTTAGATTGAATTCGTTGAATTGAAGTCTTCTTGGGGATCAGATTCCTCAGGCTCATCCTTGGTGAACTCATAGTTCATCTCCTTGGCTTCTTTGGCAGCAGCTTTTTCTTCGGCCTCTTGTCGCTTGCGCTCCTTTTCACTGAAGGCCAACTGTTGCTTGCGGTCCTTCTCAGCCTCGGCCTCTAGTCGCTTGCGCTCCTTGGCAGCTTCGGCCTCTAGTCGCTTAAGCTCCTTGGCCTCCTCTGCTTGTTGTTTTTTCTCTTCTTTCAAGGCCTGCTCCAGCTGTTTTTTGGCTTCCTTGTCGGCTGCTGCCTGTCGCTTCTTAGCTTCGGCCTCCCGATTCTTATTGTGCTTTTGCCAGGTCTTATTCAACTTTCCAAATTCTTTCAGGCGTTCCTCCCTCTCCTTGTCCGTCTCGGGTGTCTTGCCAATGGCCTCCACATCGATCTCATCCTCATAGCCATCCGGCAAAGGATTCACGTGAGGATTGTGGAAGCGACTCCTAAGCCCGTCGCCGAAGTAGAATGGCTTTGTGCGCACATACATGTGTCCCCACTTTTTAAATTCGGGCCGCTCATGCTCATGATGTCCGGTTAGGACAAGGACTGACAGTATGGCTATCAATGGTAGTGCACACATCAAGGTGATTCTCTGCCACATTTTCGCATGGCCCTCACACGGTGCTAGATGACATATGGAATATTCGCTTAAATTAATGTTGAAATAATACTATGCTGATTGCCTTACGTGGTGTGGGGCACGGCTTGCACGGACACTTTGGGGCTGAAGCTGCCTGGGCGTGTGCGCACGGCGCTTTGCCTTTTCCCTCAGCTTTACCCTTATCTTTTGACGTTTCACTTGCCTTCTCACGTTTTTCGATTAACTTTTCGCAAAGTTTCTGATCGGCATTTTTTTGTTCTTCCTCTGAACCGCCCTGCTTCTTTTTTTGGCATTTGGCTCCGCCACTAATTTTAGTGTGATCCGTTTCTTTTTTGCTGCCTCCTTCCTTGCACCCTCCTTCCTTAGCTACAAGAGTTAATAGCTCGGTACCGCATACCTTTAACATGAAATTATTTCCTTACCTCCTTTTTTGTCTTTATCGCCTCCTTCTGGCTTTTTAGATTTACAGGACATGTAACGAAAATTTGCATTGGTTACTGATGGAATCCTTTGGAATCTCAGCCGAGACCATTTTACAAGACTTAATAACTGAAGCATGGCTTTTAGGGAAGAAGCAGACCTAAAATTTTTTCTGGAGACTAAAATTTAAATATTCTACTGATTTTTTTAGATAAATACATATATTCATTAAAACCTAACTTCCAAGCCAACTGTAACAATTTTATTCATTTTAATTCGTTTTCAAAAGAGTGCGCCAACAGTCTCATTAATGCAAGCGTTATCGATTGTTCTTTGTCAACAACTGTGCTGTTAGCTGACCACTATTAACAGAATTCTGTTAACGCTTACATTGGACTATCAAGAGCGAAATTTAACAGCAACTGTTATTTGTAGAGATTAAGATTTATTTAATTCCACAGAACAATGCCAATATGGGGTATACTTGGTTAAATACTAAAGGCTCATATATTCTACTCTTTTCTACACATACATTTCAAATTGATTAAGCGTGACCGAAGTGAAAAGTTAGTATGCGAGAAGTTCGCCTTTTATTGCCTAGCATACAAATGCATGTTGGAATTAATAAATAAAACATATGTATAACATTTGGTAGAAGTGGTGAGTTTCAAGCCATTTAAACAGAGTAATGGGTGTCTGACAGTTCACCAACAACTTAGAGCACTTTTGCCTTTTTACAGTCTGATTGGACTTTTTGTTAACAGATGTTATTCAGACGCCGTCGAGGAAGCATTAAACACTTGCGTGCATATGTATTGTTTCAAATAATTGTTGAGCGTAATTTGACATTCGGGCGTTATTTTAAATTATTTCTGCGTGTGTGTATTATAAAATCGATTTAATACAACAATGAAGGTCTGTTGCATTGGCGCTGGTTATGTCGGCGGCCCAACATGTGCGGTAATGGCACTGAAGTGTCCAGATATAAGCATAACGCTGGTCGATAAAAGCGCCGAGAGAATCGCACAATGGAATTCGGAGAAATTGCCCATTTACGAGGTTAGTCTAAGTTATTGTCAAATTGTTGATCGTGTTACATCCGCAATAAATTAATGTGCAAATGTGCAGATGCACTGACGTTTGCGAATGCTTGTTTCAATGTGCTTGTGTGTGTGTGCGAGAGTGTGCTAGAACAAATGCATTGATTGTGTACGTGCGTGTGTGTGCGTCTGATATAGAGATCTATCACGCTCGTGCTATACAAGAGATGAATAATAAATTCAAGCAAGAATCCTAAACAAACAACAGACACATCAATCAGAGCCACAGATACAAGTGGCCAGACGTCGATGAACTTCTCTTGTCCATGTTTCAAGTACACGGCTCAGCGGCTGTCTGACAAACAGTTAGAGACGCAAACCAGTTCCCCAACGGTTTGAAAACTGAATTGTACACAGCGCGCACCTTTCTAGCCCTCTCGATCTGAAGCACGCACAACAGCCGTGCGTTTGACTGCGTGCTGCTCGGCTCACAATAGAGTCGGAGAGAGGGCACCTGATCATTGCGAACACAAACACAATTGGTGCTCGGCAAGGTCAATGGTCACTCTCCTCCCTCTGCTGCCCAGCAGAGAAGAGTGAACCTCACATGCCGACGGCAGGCAAGCATTCATTAGTCATTCACAAGGTGCACACACACACACAGAGTGCAGACATATGTGTTCACTAACACAAGTGCGTGTACATGCTTGCCAAATAATTACACTCGCTTACAAGATAGCGATATCGATTTGACCTACTGTGGCAGGTGGGAAGCCCTTTAAGGCAAAGCTGATAGAATCCTCACATGTTACTTGGGCTTGGGCAATATCTCTTTCTCTTTTACTCCTCTTTGTTGTCGCATTTCCGTTTTCGCTTTTTATTTTGTGATATTCTAGACTCGTTTCCGCCCGCGCCTCATTATTACCCCAATCCTTATCAGCCCGTCCACATTACGTCTTGTGAGCCAGATAAGCAGCAGTGTCCCCTTATCAGTCCGTGCTGGATAATATAAAAACAAAAAAATAACATTAAATTTTGCAAGAATTCCAAACGGGTTTCCCACTGCCACGGATGAGAGCCGAACAATAGAGTAAGTTTTATTTATTCTATGGCGTAATATCTGTCAATAGTCCAAGACTTTAACATAACCACCTTGCATATGCATATAAAAGTTTTGATGGCCATCTCAGTGTGATTACATCATTGCAACTGCATTAACAATGTTTTCGAAACAGATATAGCAAATAAGAGGAGGAACAAAGATAAAAATAATAATAGATAATGTTGACATCGACTGCACTCATAGTTTCTTGTGCACATATTTGCCCAGGTGCCAAATAGACTGTTGCAATTCTCTAAGAAATGCAAATACGCTAATTGCATTTTCCATTTGCAGCTTATCAACGGACAGACAGATATATGTAGAACTTCATTAATTAGAGCAGGCAAACTTCAAATTTGTTTACCAATTGCATGGCCATCGATAGTCCTAAAATCAATTATGTGATAGAGCAGTCCATTAAAAAATATATAAATAAATAAAAGATAACTCTAAAATTAGTTTAGCTATTAGATTGCCTCAAACTGATTTGATGACAAACAGAGTTTTGCGCTTTGCTCAGCATTTGTGTTTTGCTCTACTTCCGCAACTTCTTATTCTTCTTGTTCTCATTTCCACATTATTTAGCGCCTGCTTCTTCTTCAAAATTATCATGTAAAAAGTTCAATAAACCATAATTCTGATTAAAATGCAAACCTGATGGTCTATGGAAAATTACCAATTTAAATAAATACATACATATACCTGGTTCAATATATTCTTGGTATATGTATTTATTTATCTAAAAAAAAAAAAGAAAACATTTGATAAGATTAGCTGGAGGCAAACCTCGAATAATCTTATCTCTTTCAATCCATTCAGTGGAACGAACGTTTGGGTTGTTCGCTTTGCCTAAAAGGGGGCCAGATTAATCTATGTTTAATATGTATATATTTATAATTTTCCGATTAAAACGGTATTTCTGTTGCGCCGCAGCCCGGTCTCGATGAGGTGGTCAAGAAGTGCCGCAATGTGAACCTATTTTTCTCCACGGACATTACGACAGCCATCAAAGAAGCTGATCTGATTTTCATTTCCGTCAATACGCCAACGAAGACCTGCGGCAGCGGCAAGGGTAAGACTCGCCTCCCCCTACATTAATCGTATATTTATAATTAGACTGTATCCACTTTCAGGTCGTGCTGCGGATCTGAAGTATGTGGAGAGTGCAGCACGCATGATAGCCGAGATAGCGCAGTCCAACAAAATCGTCGTGGAGAAGAGCACGGTGCCGGTGCGAGCGGCTGAGAGCATTATGCATATATTGCGAGCGAATCAGAAGCCGGGCATCCACTATGACATACTATCGAATCCCGAGTTCCTGGCCGAGGGCACTGCCATCAACGATTTACTGAATGCGGATCGCGTCTTGATTGGCGGCGAGGAAACGGCCGAGGGCCATCAGGCGGTGGAGAAGCTGTCGTGGATCTATGAGCATTGGATACCGAAGAAGCATATACTAACCACGAATACGTGGAGCAGTGAGCTCTCCAAGTTGGCGGCCAATGCATTCCTAGCGCAGCGCATCTCCAGCATCAATTCGCTGTCCGCGGTGTGCGAATCAACCGGAGCGGATGTGTCGGAGGTGGCGCGCGCCGTGGGTCTGGACTCGCGCATCGGTTCCAAGTTTCTGCAAGCCTCGGTCGGCTTCGGGGGTAGCTGCTTCCAGAAGGATATTTTAAACCTGATCTACATATGCGAGAACCTCAACCTGCCTGAGGTGGCGGCCTACTGGCAGCAGGTGATAGACATGAATGAATACCAGAAGCGCCGCTTCTCACAGAAGATCATCGAGAGCTTGTTCAACACGGTATCGGACAAGCGCATTGCAATCCTTGGATTCGCCTTCAAGAAGAACACGGGCGACACTCGCGAAACGGCTGCGATTACCGTTTGCCAGACGCTGCTGGAGGAGGGCGCCAAGCTGGACATTTACGATCCCAAGGTGGAGCCGGAGCAAATCATTGACGATCTAACGCATCCCAGCGTAACGGAATCTCCAGAGAATGTCAAGAAGGCGGTTCAGATACACAGCGATCCCTATAGCGCCGTGCGAGCTACGCACGCTCTGGTCCTCTGCACGGAATGGGATGAATTTGTGGATCTGGACTACAAGCGCATCTATCAGTCGATGATGAAGCCGGCGTACATATTCGACGGGCGCAAGATTTTGGATCACGAGCGTTTGTTGCAGATTGGATTCCATGTGCAGACGATTGGAAAGAAATATCAACGGGCGGGACTTCTTCGCTCATGGGGCATTGTGCCGCAGCTGTAGGCGTGTGGGCGTGGCATTAAGACTTAAATCTGTCAACAATTTCCAGTATTTACGCACCTAAATGTAAATATGCTTTTGTGCTTTATATATATATATGTATTRTTATATATATAAATAGTTCAAGTATTCCGCTAGATACGCCTAAGTATTCCCACATCTATTCCTACAACCAGATGTCGTTCCAGTTGCAATATCTAAATACATATATAACGATTGCCGTTGCAAACGGGCTGCCCTATTTCTTTACTATATACAGGAGCTGCATTTCTGTATTAATTGATCGCTGAACAAGCATTTACACATATTATGTAAATTTTATAATAAAATAAACAAACATTTATTCATGCATTGATCAATCAAAACGGTATTCTCCTAACAATCTGACGATGCCAAAGGTATGCGGTAGCTGCGGACAAGCTGAACCAGGTAACCAGGTAGGAGAGATGATCGTTGCGCAGTGTAACGCGAGTCTGTCCACCTATGGGACTGCCCTCTGGCGCTTTTGGATCATAGACCGCATCGAGGAAGATGGGCTGGGCGCCAGAGCTCTTGCACATCCTGTTCAAGTCGCGATAGAGATAGACTTGGCCATCTTTGTGATCTGGCGTGAACTGTGGACGCGTCTCGCCTTGGCGTACAACGGCCGTCAGTTCCACCTCGTTTTGGTACTGTCCCAAGGCGCGTGTCTCCTTCTCAGTATGCTTGCGCGAGATCCAGCCCCGGTTAACCAGGACAATGTCACTGTTGAAGCGAAATTGGATTAAGGGATTACTATTGATATAGTATTTCTAGGGCTTACTCCCTGTCAGCCAATTGGAACGGTGTGATGACGAGGTAGCCGTTGCCGGAGTCGCGCTGTGAGAATAGTCCACCTTGTGTTTCCCCTCCATCTGGCCGGATGAGCGAGCGGGGTCCCATCAACATCTCCTTGTCATGCAAAAACCGGCCACGCAGCTTAACCAAACGGTACTCCATTTGTGATAGCTGGCTTAAACTAAATAAAAAAGGCAGTCTTAAATCAGAAGCTTTTGATGCCAGCATTTCCACTCACTCATCCGGCAGATCAACGGGCTCCATATGCAGTTGCTTATCCAGGTCCTTAATTAGTTGCTCCTTCCAGATTTTGCGCTTCACTTGCCAAACGCCTAGACCAAATGTTGTGGCGGGTATGATCTGACATAAGCCGATTAGTGGACGTAAGGCTTTTCAACAGCTTACTTACGAGTAGGAACCAACCGAGTGCTGTGATTTTATCCTTCTTCTTGGCAATCGGAATACTCGTTGTGAAGTCCACTTTTGGGTGCTGTTGTGTCATCTTTCTGGTGACCAATTGCAGCCTGATTGTGGGAATCGTATTTGTGCAGCCAGCCAGGCGTTGCAGTGTGACGCTTTGCTTGCATATTTGAGAACTTAAGCGTAGCATAATTAGTTCTTATTATATTAATACAATTTCACAAACGGATTGAAAAAGCTGGTCATAACATTACAATTCTGTTAACAGTGGAGCAAATCTAACAAGTCAGCTGTTTATTGCTGTTGAGCGGCTCTGTTAAGTCGGATGTGGGGTGTTAAGGCAGCTGTTTGGTTGTCGTGCCGGAATTGGTTTTGGTCAAGTTGGCAGCACTACATGTTATTAGAACATTGCGTTTCGGTTTAAACAATTAAAATTCAGTTTAATTAAAGCATGTTGTGCACACGCGCAGCTGCGAGGCTTGGGAGTGTCTTAACTACATCAGGACTGGTATGTAAACAAATGAAATCACAAAGTTTGACTCTTAGCAGTGGCTTCTGCAACTGCACCTGCACCACTCTTATATAAACGACACTGGCGGTTGTTTTTATCCCACAGGTAGCGCAACAAACATATACGCATCGTGTGGCAGCAACTGCGGCAGTAAGATTCACCCACCAATGCCGACTCTGCTCCACTGGTGTTGTGGACAGTCCTGGGAAAACAACAAAACAAACTGCGGAAGATGGTAGCATATTGAAACGTGTTCTGAACAAAGTGGGCTTTACGCCCAATACAAAAGCCGTGAGTACTATAAATAAAGAATACATAATAGATAGATCTAAAAACAAAATTCATTGCAGCGCCTCAAGGTCACGAGTCATCTGCTGTATGAGAGTGTGGCGGACAAGATCAACTATGTTGCCTTCTTTCGCGATTTTAATTTGCCAAACACGTTCAACTCCTGGTTCCTGGTCACTGAGCTGCATGTCTGGCTGCTAATGATGCGCTCCATGGCCGAAGGATCAGAAACTGGCGAAGATGGACGCTTCCTGAGAAACTGCATCGTGGAGGCAATGTGGGGAGATGTAAATACACGCGCCAAGAAACTTGGGGTAAGTGCTAAAACTCCACTAAGGTCGTTGATTAATCTATTTTATTTGCTCTGCAGGCGAATAATCCCTCTCAAACGAGGAGGCAAATAGAGACTCTCTCGGAACAATTTCAGGCGGCACTGATCGCCTACGACGAGGGCATCATGTCCGATGATCGAGTGCTGGCGTCTGCTCTATGGCGTCGCTTCTTCGAAATGGATTGTGACGATTACACTCAAATTGAGCGTCTGGTGAAATACGTGAGGATACAGGCACTTATGTTGGATAGTTTAAGTCGCGATCAGTTCATAACAAAGCCAAACGTGGCGTGGCATGATTTGGACAAGTGCAAGGTTGATGCATAGAAAATGTTTTATTTTTTCTTTTAGTTTGTTTATTAAAGGTCTATTTACAATGCTAAGCCTTATATTTAAATAACCAAATCGTTGATGGGCTCGTCTACTAGAGCTCGAAGCTGACACTTGAGCAGGAAAGCCAAAATCCGACGTTCCGCTCGCACTTTCTGTACGCCCTTAAGTTGCCCCAGAATCCGGCTCATTTGCAGATAATCGCTTGTGGATGACGATGGCGGTGCGTCCACAGCAAGAGGTGTCCTTTCTTTAGCAGTGGGTTCTATGCTTGGCTGCAGATGCTGCTCCACAACCTCATCGGCTTCCTCGAAAATGATTTCTTCTTGTAGCATTGGATCGCTTGGCTCAATAATTTCCTCAATTATCAAGGTATTGTCATCATGCTGTTCCATATCGGTAACATGCATCACAACGCAATCTTCATACGACTGCCACGTATTCTGATCCACAAAGGATTCTTTCTGCTCTACATTTGGTTGCCTCTCGACTTTCGCCTTGGCCTTAGGTCGCGATCGCGCATCTGTTAAGAATTGTAATCGCTTAAAATAGGGCCAGGTTGAACCGCCAGGTCGCCTTGATTCCTTGCGATACTGATAATGTAAATTATTCCAGCGCATTAGGCAGAAATCCACTGAAAAGAAATCCACAATTATTGATAGTTCACTAAGAAATAGTCCAATTTACCATCACAATCCATTATCTCAGCTATTTTCGACCAGATCTCCGTCTTAACTTTCATAACATCATAGTTCGAAAGTCCGGTCTGGCGTTTATACAACACGGTATTAGGCTCGACATGATCGATGAGCTTGAAATCAAATGGACGATTCTTTTTATAGCTGGTGCGCATTTTTAATAAAGGCTGAAATCAATTTTAAATAATGGTGGAGTGACATTAAGCATATTTGCGATTAATTATCTGTTAAAGTGAAAATAAACAGTGTTTGACAAAGGCAAAAAATCCGTTTATTTTTAAAAAGTAGTCATTAAAAATTGCAACCTCTAATAAAAATGCAGCAGTCATAACATTTCATTTCATTTCAGTATACATTTAATGGTGTCACTCTACTTTAGTGCTTTTTCTATTTGTGTAAAACAGAGTTGCTTTGATTTATAAATATCGAATAAGTCCAATATCGAGCATAAGTAAGCCAGCAGTTTCTTTCATCTCTAATACTGACGTAGGTGCAAAACCTGGAAAATTGTAAGGTGAAGTGAAAATTGCAAAAAAAAGTGAAAAAAGATAAAATATTTGGCAAATAATTGTGCAATTTAAGTGCTGATAAAAATGAACATGTAAGTAACAATAATTTGCATTGGGGTACATCATATTTACGTTGTTTTTCGTAAAAAACCACACATGTGGCAATGAGACTGCTGCAGAGGGGGAAATTTTTTTTCGTAGATTTGCTAAAAATCGATAATTCAAAATGGCCGAGAGAGTAGCTAGTGAAAATCACATCGAAAAGTAGAAAAAAAAGTTTGGAACTACTTTTGATGCTCAAAATTATAATTAATGGCGCACAACGCTCGTTCCAGGTATAACGGACAGGTAAATGGTTATATGGGAAGTGCACCCGCCGGTGGTATGCCCAACAATCGTATGGGCGCTGGCGGCGGTGCTGGAATGTTCCAGCGTAATCGCTCGGCTCCCTACATTCGTGGTGGACCCGGCGGTGGCGCTGGTACTGGTGGATTCAATGGAGGTCGCATGAATATGGGCGGCCCAGGAGCTCGCGATGGAGGAGGTTTTAATGGTGGACAGAACAGCAACCGCACGTCCACTCATGGCGCCCATCTGCCATCAATTATTTGGGCAGAGGTGTCGCTTACACCATTCCGCAAGAACTTCTACAAGCCTTGTGAATCTGTGTTGGCTCGCACTCAAGGGGAGACAGAAACCTTCTTGAGCAGCAACGAGATAACTATTAAAGGCAATGAGGTGCCCACTCCTAGCATTGAATTTGAGGAGGGCGGTTTCCCTGACTATGTAATGAATGAGATACGCAAGCAGGGCTTTACCAAGCCCACAGCTATTCAAGCTCAGGGTATGCCCATCGCATTAAGTGGCCGTGATCTGGTGGCCGTGGCCCAAACCGGTTCGGGCAAGACATTGGCCTATGTCTTGCCCGCTGTGGTCCACATTAACAATCAGCCGCGCTTGGAACGTGGCGATGGACCCATTGCTTTGGTACTCGCACCCACACGCGAGCTGGCCCAGCAAATCCAGCAGGTAGCTAGTGAGTTTGGGTCGAACACTCAGGTGCGCAACACCTGCATTTTCGGCGGTGCCCCCAAGGGCCAGCAAGCTCGCGATTTGGAGCGTGGCGTCGAGATTGTCATTGCGACTCCTGGACGCTTGATTGATTTCTTGGAGCGCGGAACCACCTCGCTTAAGCGCTGCACCTATCTGGTGTTGGACGAGGCCGATCGCATGCTGGACATGGGCTTTGAGCCGCAAATCCGTAAAATTATGCAGCAGATACGCCCAGATCGTCAGGTGCTCATGTGGTCCGCCACCTGGCCCAAGGAGGTTCGCCAGCTGGCCGAAGAATTTCTCAACAACTACATTCAGGTCAACATTGGCTCTCTGTCGTTGAGCGCCAATCATAACATACTCCAGATTGTCGATGTCTGTGATGAGTCGGAAAAGATCGTTAAGCTCATACAGTTGCTAACCCAAATCTCTGGTGAGAATGAGACCAAGACCATCATATTTGTGGAGACCAAGAAGCGTGTGGATGAGATAACACGCAATATATCACGCCAGGGCTGGCGTGCGTGTGCCATTCATGGCGACAAGTCGCAGCAGGAACGCGACTTTGTGCTATCGAGTTTCCGCAATGGACGCCACTCCATACTGGTGGCCACCGATGTGGCCGCACGCGGATTGGGTGAGTGTTTCGTAGCTTTTGCGCCAGCAGCTGGCTAATGCCAAGCTGTGCTGTTGTCTTTTTTGATGCGCTCCATAACCAATAACCGAGCAAGTGTTGCTGTGGATCAACAACATGACCAAAATGCCAAATGCCAAAATGGTTTTGTTTCATTATTTGATTCGTCGTCGTCGTCGTCTGGCAGCGACAGTCAGCGATGAATCGGCCAACACCGACCAGCCTATTACTCTTTCTCTCTCATTCCTTGGCTTTCACTTTTCTTTCACATTCTCTTATTCTCCGCTTCTCTCTCACCGTTCGAGTGGGACAAGTTGACCTTTGTGCATTTACAGGTTAATTTGTGCATTGCATGTCTAAGTCTTCTCTCCAATCCAACTTTCCTCTCGTTTGCTTCCGACCGGCGAAGCATTGAAAGATATTTTAATTTTCTCTTTTTATTTACATTTATTCGTTCGCTTTAAACTTTTTTTTGCCGTTCCCAAAAAGAAAAAGAAAAACTTAAAAAAATATCTTTAAAATGGTGTGGTCGAAATAATAATGAGGGAATGTGTTCTCCCTGCATTTTGCTGGTTATATGAAGTTTATTCCACATATATGTACTTTATTGTGTTTTTAGTTTGTTGCTCTACGTTTTTCTATCTAGTCTTTAGTTGTGCTTCGTCATATTACACTTGAGTAACCTAACATACCATATGCAATATGTTGTCAGTCAAGGACTCAATGGCTTAGCAAAATACGAGTAAATTGATTAAATCTAAAATAAGAAAATTAAGAAATCGGGTTCTTCGGTTAGCCGAATATGAAATGCCTTTGTAGAGGAAATCTAGCGCAGTTTTTCCGATTGATAGCAGGCTAGAGCTGAAAGAACTGATATACATGACTTGACTGTTGATACTGATAAGTCATATTCTCTAAAATATCCTTCACGAATTGTTAGACAACTACTCTACAACGGTATACATACATTTAAGGATCGCTGACAATTTTTTTTTAAATTACGCTCTTGAATAGAATGGCCAGTTCTTCAAAGAGTTGTAAACTAATATTTTTTTAACAATATTTTTATTTTTTATTTGTTTGAATTCGGAATTAAAAAAAAAAAATTGAGTTAGCGATATATTTTGCGGCCAAGAAATTTTTGACTGATGCTTATTTTCGTAGTTTATTTGTAATTATTATAAAAGTATTATGTATATTGTATATTACGTCGCTCCTATATGTATAAAACCTAAATTTGTGTGTGAACAAAAATATCATCAGCACTTTTTGAAATGGACTTCGATTTTTATATGGCAAAAGTAAAAAAAAAAGAAAAAGAAAAACCATAACAAGAGAAAAGTTAAATGTTAAAAGTTGTATACACAAAACAGATAAAAAAGTTAAGCTTTATATACAAGTTGAGGGTTGAATTCTTAAGTTTTTAGCAACGCGGAACTCTCATCACTTTAGCTCCGCGCCCAGGCTACATCTACAACAGCTACAACCGAAACAACAACAACAGTGCCGTAACAACATTTATTACGTAAGCCCTATCTAATATCTAATCATAGATCGCACACGGGGTAAGTACTAGGCTAATTATGAACCAACTCGTTCGCTTCCTCCTCTCTCACTCATTCACCCAGTCAGTCAGTCAGTCACTAACACGTCCCTCTTTCGTCCTAGCAACCTACCGTTAATAATAGTCACACCCCCTCCTTCAACCTCTCCCCCATTCCCCGGTAGACTCATAAGAACTAACTGGCTCCTAGCACCCACTCATCACATTCTTATTATAAAACCTACATCTTAAGTTTAATCAAGCCGTCTCTTGTATGCATTAAGCTTAAAAAAAATATAATATATATTAAAATAAAGATTTGTGTATTTCAAAATGAAAAAAAAAAAAAAAAAAAAAAAACGAGAACACAAAGGTCGAGGTCCACCATTTCTGCAGTATAGAAAAAACATATATCTGTTTGCCAAAGATGTATAGTTGTTAATATACGCTAAATAGTATTGATGGCGAAATTTTTGTTCAAATCAAAACCATAAAATATGTAGAGCAAATCGAATGTGTTTGCAAAACAAGTTATAAATTAAAGTGCTTATATTAATTTTAGCAACAAACAAAAAATATTTCATTAAAAAAAAAAAAAAGCACACACACAAAATGAATAAAACACACACATAAGTTTCTGTTTTTGTTTATAGTTCTTGAGTATGTATTGAGAATATCAAAGAGAAACGTATAATTTGTAAAACATGTTTAACATTCATAACTTTTTCAATTTTCAAATCGAAACGCAAAACAGACGTTGACGATGTCAAGTTTGTGATCAATTATGATTATCCTTCCAACTCGGAGGATTATGTGCACCGCATCGGGCGTACCGGTCGTTCCAATAATACGGGCACTGCGTACACCTTGTTTACGCACTCCAATGCCAACAAGGCCAATGATTTGATTCAAGTGCTGCGCGAGGCCAATCAGGTAATTGATTGAACACCAAACATTTCAGCTCTTATATCCTCTTTATAAATGTGTCTCCTGTTATTTTCTCCTATATAGACCATTAATCCCAAGCTGATGAACATGGCTTCCAATGCTGGCTATCAGAAACGTGGTGGCAGCAACTATCGCGGCAACACTGGTGGCTATCAGGGGCGCAATTCGCAAATGGGCAACTCCAACAACTATCGCAACAACCAGAACATCAATAACAACAACAACATGAATAGAAATGGCAATGGCAACAATGGCTACAACCCGGCTGGTCCGCCGCGCTATGACCAAAAGGTATCGCGTAATTCGCCGCCTTCTTCTGGTGGCTATCGTCCGCCAGCCATTGGCTATCAGCAACAGCAACAGCAGCAGCAGCAGCAGCAACAACAACAGCAGCAGCAGACACCATCACAGCAACCCAATGGAGTGCAGTTCTCACGTTTCAATCCGAATGCCGCTTGCTTTGAGCCGAAGACCCAAGCTTCGGGCGGGCAGCAGCATCAGCAGCCACAACATCTGGCCGCTGCTCAGGCAGCCGCAGCAGCCGCTGCTGGCTATGGCTATGGCGTCGAACAGAAGCGCTCTCGCTTCGCCTTGAATTTCAATATGCCACCACCACCCATTACACACCAACAACAACAGCAGCAGCAACAGCAACAACAGCAGCAGCAGCCGCAGCCACAGCCGCAACAGCAGCCACAACAGCCGCAACCGCAGCAGTTGCCGGTGGGAGGAGCAGCCGCCATGCCGCCACAGGCATACGGACAGTATACGAGCATGTCCAGTAGCATGGCGACAGTGTCGCTGAACGGAGGTGCACCCAGCATAGCGGCTAGCGCCTATCGAGCCCCATACGCAATGCCGTACGTGATGCCRCCACCACCATTACCCGTACAAAACTAAACTTAACAGTAACGCCAAATTGTACGAGCCTAAAGGACTAGATCCCCTAAGGGTCTAGGTTAATTTCTGCTCGAATATAATTTCCTTTCCATCACTAAAATATAAATACACACAACTCACATACACACATACACTCACACTATCACGTGCAGACAAAAGAAAACGTGCACATCAGCGTATGCAACTTCGAGTATATTAAAGTCTTAGGCATCATCTAAGATCCCAGACTCAAGTAGATCTCCTCCGCCCACACATATTAGTAATATAATATGGTTTAAACTGGAATCAAATACGCTTGCAATTTGATAAATTCACTTTTCGTTCACCTGTAATCGCACATACATAAATACACACGAACACACCAACACACTCTAACATAAGCACATACAAACACCACAAATCATTTAGTTATAAGCATTTGTTTTAGTCAGACATTTGGGCAATTCGGTTGCCAACTGATTTAGATTATAATTGGCCCCAGCGTATTTGATTTCTGTGACTATTCTCGAATAATCAATCCTATTCAATAATCTATATTAATAATAATGCAAAATTGTAATTTGCAATGCTCCAAGCGACACTGAAACAGAGACAAACAAATATGATATAATTTCTTAGAATCAAATGCGTGTTACATCGTCTTAAACCATATTATGTGACTAGTCTAATTGCTTAGCTGAAACTTCACAACAACTTTCACAAAACAATAGCAACAAGAACAACAAAAGAATAAATAAAAATAACTAAAATGTATAATTCCATTTAATGTAAACTTATGAATTGATTTACAACTTATGAATAAAGGAGTTAATTCAACATCAGCAATAATTGGTCTTTACTTACGGTTCCTCCGCTTGGTGACTCATCGATGGCTTTCGCTTAACTTAATTGATTTGCATTTATTTTCATTTTTA